TCATCGGTCACTGTAACATCGAGTGCCACGAACGGCGAACGCACTGACAAGGCCTCCAAACTAGCCCATTCTTCTCTTGATGCACGTACCTCATCTCTCTTCTCCTACTCCGACATAAAAATGTATACACTTTGCCTATGTAGGGCCGTCCTTACGATTTACTCAGGGTGAAAACCAACTTTTAAACCAATTTTACCACTTTTTTCAAACGCGAGGCCTCCAAATGTAAGCAAAAAGCGAGAGGCTTAGGGCCTGGGCCCTGTTCGTCCCCCCCCCCTAAAGACGGTCCTGTGCCTATGGAAGAATAAATGGCACAAAATGAATACTAAACTTAATGAAATAAAAAGAACAATACGTTTGGATCTTTCCTATCAATATACCACCTTAGAATCGGGCACACTCGCCTTAGTGCCTTACCCACTTATATCTTATGAAGAAAGAAGAAAATCCCCCCCTGCGTACGCTGCGGGGTTCCTCTCACCATTAAACACATACTCCCGGAGTGCGATGTGTAAATCATGGAGAGAGGAAGGATGCAAATATCTGACCACCTTGCGGAATCACAATAAGCCCCAAACCTTCCAACATCATCAAGCTCTGTCAATTTCTTTCGGTGACACATCTGATCAACCTAGTCCTAGTGTAATAGGCATCTCAAATGAACATACTACACTTATATAATATATTCGTTTATACCTAGGTATATAGTTATTTTCTTATTCAAATTTTTTTTTTTTATCTCTTTTATCTTATGTCACCTAACCATTATTAACTTATAATCCCCCCTCCGAAACTTGCGTATGTTGAAATCTTTTGGTCCAATATTATTTATTGGTTAAAACTTAAAATTATCGAAACTATAGGTATGTACTATACCTATAGATATAAATCATAATATTATATAAGTACATTTTTGAACTCCTAATTTTAAAAACTATTATATTATTGTCATCATATTATATTTATACATGGATTGTTTGACTATATTACATTATTTGGAACTTAAAACGACAACAGTGTAAATATATGTCAGACATTAGAGTGACAGCCACAGGATACCTTGAGGCTTTGAATGTTCTATTGAATTCAGAAAACAATCTACCTAGACCGTAGTGAAACCACGTTTATCAGGTTAGTTTAACCCGACCAAGTCCCTGCAACTACGTGATTTTGATTTATTATTGTTACACGATAACTAGCGAAAAAAGGTATCATAGAAATCATAAAAAACTAACAAGTTTAAGGTCATAGTTACAGCAATAACAAAAAAAAAATTGAAATATAACAGGATAACCTATTACATGGCGTAAGTATACATTCTGTATAAGCCTTAATTGAATAATTGATTGATTAATTGATCATTCTCTATATAATTAATAAAATGTATAATAATGACCACTGTACAAATAATTTTAGGCTTTAGGTTCTGAGTAGAGAAATGCATTGGTTTTTCAATTATGTGTGTGGTGTGTTTTTTTATGTTTTCAAAAAGCTAGAAAATTCAGTACAAGGACCCCGTAAATTTATCTTATAGCAATTAAAAAAATCTCTTAAATACGCGGGCACATTATTTTACATGAGTTGAAATTAAAATATTTACAAAATTGGTTACCTACTAATTTAGACGAAAAATTACGATTTTTCGTAAACCAGTTGAAATCATTTATTCATAATACAAAATATTTAGATCTTACTATCTTAGACACTGTAAAACTGAAATTGACAATTAAAAATACAAAATATTTGATTTCGATCAAATTTACTTTTCTCGTGTAGGAGACAAGGACAGGGATAAATCCCATAGGAGTAGGTGGTAATTACGGGTTAACATATTTTGCTGTACTACGCTATATTAATATATTATATTTAACATAGCAAAATAGGTACTTTTATTTTGTTTTAAATAATTATCAATCAAAATGTCTGTTTCGGTATGCAATGTACAAAACGATCTTATATTGAAGTTATTTAGATAAATCTCAATCAACTGGAGTGCTGTTTACTATCATGTGTTTGTTCAACAGTTGATCGATATCTTGACTCTCGTAGAATAATCGTATGTTGAAGTCTTTTGGACGAACTCCCTCAAAAACAGTGACCAAGCTTGGTTTCAGGTTGTAAAAAAATAACAACTGTCCTCTCCGTGAAAAGTCTATGGTTAACAATTCTATGACCTGAAAACGATGAATGTTTATCTATGTTTAATACATATCATAATAAAAAAAGGTGGGGGGAGAATGAAAGGGAATTGATAAAAACCTTGGCCGCAGTAAAATCTGCTCCGTAAATATGGGAACAATCAATGACTACTGGTAAATTCTGTTTTAAGCTGTGCTTAATGATAATATTTCTCACATAATCAACTGATGGAAATATCAAGCATCTGTCTGGTGTCATCATCAGATAATTGATACCGTTCCTAGTCTATAATAATTATAAATATCGTATACATCAAAATATTCTATATTATTGTTTTCAGTCATACTAAAGATACAAATAATTGTAATACGACATTCGTACATTAGCTAAATACAAAACAATTTAATCACCCCTTACCGTGTTCACTCTAATGGAAAGTTTAGGTCTCGCCGCGTGGTATAAAATCGATATCAAATTCAGGCCGACGCCAATTAGAATCCCTATTTCCATATGTAGTAACAGGCAGGCGAAAAACGTTCCTAAACCGGGAATCAGATCGCTTTCTAAATGTATAAGTAAAAAAAAAAATTATTATTATAATCCCAGGTAAAAGGTATTACAATTTTCCAAAATACTCGTTAAAATTTAAAAAAAAACAATAATAAGCTAGATAGTACAAAGTCGCCATTCTAAATAAAAAACCAGGGAAGTCGATCTGCTGTAGCTGTATAGAAGGTATCGAGTATACGGCGTATACCTCACATTGAGTAGGTCGATGCGAGTGTATTAAATTCTATGATAATTTATTGAATTCGAAAATCTATTTCAAGTGGATATGGTAGGTCAGCCTACATTTGCCTATGGATATTTTATTATATATTTATAATTTACATTGTCATTGTTAATTATTTTTTTCAATTAAAAATTGAAGATTTTTTGCTGATCAAAAAGTTAAAGAATTTATGTGTAGGTATGCAACTTTAAGAATATATGTTAAAACATATTGTACTAAAAACCTTAATCATCCATACTATGTTTTGATGAACAGAAATTATATTGTATGAAATATTTAAGAGGACGTCACACCTTCATGTGTTGTCTCCGTATACACATATACAACATAGACAAAACGAGTTTACGTAGTCTGAGTAGAACTCGCTGAATTTTGGTTCTAGAGTAAAAATACCTGTTATAAAATTGAACTGTTATAATATTTCGGAGGGAAAGTCGTTGGTTTTTTTTTTAAAACAATTAAATTTTGAAAAGTTAAAGGTATTTAACTATTAAATTTAATTATTTAACTATTTTAAAATGTTGAAATTTATGCTATTTCTAAACGATATAATCAACGTTATATTGGGTAAAATAGAAAAAACTTGCCCTCCTGAATATTGTCACAATTCAATTTTATAATAGGTATTTTTACTATAGAACCAAAATTCAGCGAGTTCTACTCAGACTGCGTAAACGCGTTTTGTCCATGTCGTACGTGTGTAAAAACACATGCTGGTGTGACGTCCTCTTAACATATATTTTTAAATACAAACGTAATAGTCAACATAATAACATGTAGCTATACCTTTACGTTTTGCTTAACCAAGGACCCTATATAGACAATTTAACAATATGCAATTAAATTTTACTACTCCATAAATCCATCATGTTAAATAATTAGGTAGGTAGGTGCTAAAACAAACATCATATATCGAAACTAACTCAAATATAATGTCTTCAACGACCATGCTTCCAAAAAGCAGAATTTATCTTAATTTATTGTTATTATAATAATTAACAATAAGACGTATTTAAAGGTTTATTTATTCGTATGGAAATTGACAATTGTCATTACCTATAGTTCATTAGGTACCCACTAATACTTTGCAATACATAAAGACAATGTTCCCACCTTTATACATTTTAAAATTTCACTAATAGATTCATTTTAAAACCCCAAGTATATTATTTTGGTGAATCCACAAATAATAACGATAGTGATGTTGAGCATATTTGAAAACATCAAAAGGCAATCAAAATGTTCATCAGTTTGTGAGTTTATCAGTTTTGATACTAATGAAGTAATGACTAAGATTTTGACCTTGACCCCTGATTTTTCCCCTACTTAAGTTGTTTTTTAGTATGAATAATACGCTGATAATTTTCAATAAATGAATTATGTACAATTTGAATGAATATTGTATGGTGCAAATTACATACATTTAAGGTATACAAATCTATAATAATATTACTTTTTGATCGATAAATTGGTTTGACAACACGAATTTCCACCATAAATATGACTGCAGCAATAATAACCGCCGCAAGAGCCGATTTCGGTATATAGTAAAAATAAGGTGTACAGAATAATAAAGCAACGATGACCAAAATTCCTAAAAATAAAAACGAAAATATTATACTATGAAAGAAAAGATAATATTACACTATTGATATTTGAAAAAAAAAACGTATCTCACCAGAATATAAACCTCCCATTGGTGTTCGTACGCCACTGGCAGCATTCACGGCACTTCTAGAAAAAGAACCTGTACTTGGGAACGCGTGAAAAAACGAATTGCCGATATTGCACAATCCAATTGCCAATAACTCTTGTGTAGCATCAACGGGTTTTCCCAAAGCTAATGTGAAAAATAAAAATACATTTCATTAATTCGTGGTCAACAAATATATTTTGATTCTTTGGTTTTACTGACAAAATGTTTTGCATATCGAAAGGTTTTCGATCAACGCTATTATCGGTAAGACTATAACTCCGGAACCCATGTCCGAGACCATTTCAAAGAATCCAACTGTGGTACCGTTGTCTCTCATGACGCTAAACTTCGGGAAACCGAAATCCGGCAAACCCGACGGTATTTTACCTGGAAAATTATAGGTATAAATCCACAATCTGTACAGTATTCGGAAACCAACGATCATTCCAGTGTTGGACGTCAAGGGTTCTTACCATGTGTCTCCGTTTTCCGCAGATATCGGCCTTTTTCCATTTACTACCAGTGCATTGCAGTATAGTAATATGCATTTACACTTTCAGCAAAAACAATTTTGAGTTTTTACATTTTGGTACCTAACCCCTTAATTATTGCAAGAACTCATATGTTACAATATTTTCACAATCGTGCTTTTTCTCCATTAAAATAAAAGAGAGGAAGTATTTTGAATTGGCAATAAAATATGTGTCAATTAATATAAAGTGTTTTTATGATTTAATTGTTTTCTTCCACTAGTATAACTTACATCCGCTTTTATGTGAATAAAACTAAAAATAATTATTTATTTTGTATATTTGTACATATAATTATATTTTGAATAACTAATAATGTTATAAAATACACTGCATTTGATACAATATATTTTATCGTAAGCGGTAACCAAATCTAAAAACTGAGATCTGCTGTGTCGGAAAATGGAAGCATATACTATTAACCTGTACTGGCGTTAAACGGACTTGGCGGAAAACGGAAATGTACATTTTGGTGGCCTTTACTTACCTACCACCTTAAATGGTATCGGTGGCATTTCATTAGATGTCACGTCGTGGCCCGAAGAATTCACGTAAAGGAATCCAATGAACGTGGTGACGATGATGACGATTGAGTTTCTAAGAGTGCCGATCAACCACATGGTTCGGTTGATGATTCGCTGAACTTTAGTCCGTTCGCAATCATTTTCGGGGCCCATGTGGATCAGAGCTAACATCTCAATAATAGTGTACATAGATCAATATCGCAAATCGCAATAACCATAAAATATCATCATCGTTCGTAATATTATCACAACGCATTAACGATATTCGAATATAACGAATTGTTCTTTATTTATTTATTTAAATACCTATAGTTGCAATTTATTGGTACTTCGTGGCGACTTTATGACACAAGCACCAAAGATATAAAAATATATATATTATCATTTTTGTTAAAATTAGTAGGACATTAGCGCCATTATAAAATTGTATCTATAATATATTATGACATTAGAGATTAACATAAAATAAATAAGTGTAATTTGCACCAGATATTAACACTTAACAATCATCTATAATTTACATACTGTATAGTTTAATATAATCTTAAAAATCTATATCTCTATATTATTTTTATTCATTAAACAAAACGTATAAAACTCTTTTATTCGTAATATTATTGTTTGTGTACAATTACTTTTCATCACGATACTTATAGGCTATAGACTACGTGAATGGTGAAATGCAAATGTTTACTAAGCACTAGTACAATAATATGAAAATATAGTATGTGGTATTAACAATATAATGTTGTACCTAGATAACACAACAACTCTAACGCTCTATTGTAATGAGATATTTAATTTGCCAATTAAGAATATACCTACCTACGTTTGGATTTTGTGAATCATCTAGTTCTAAACTAATTATCTAGAATGATTCACGCACAAGTATCTGTGGGGGGTGGGCTTTTGTACGATATGACTTATTTTTTTTCTTATCTCGTTTTAGTGCTCGTGTCATTCACCACCTCATGGGCAATATATTGTAAGTAATATCGAACTTAGAATGTAGATGGTTTTGATTTTTTCACACTTACTCTTAACAACAGAATCACAACGATACACACCGATCCAAGTAGCATGTCACCCACTCGAAAATTACCGATGTCTTTGAACAGGGATATGACTATGTCAAGCAGTGTCGAGCCCACGGCGCGTATGCCGAATATGTCCTTGACTTGGGAGATGACGATGAGTATGGCGACAGCCGACGTGAATCCCGCGTTCACCGGCCCAGAGATGAAATCGATCAAAAAACCTGTATACGAGATATCAGGAATAATAATCGATGAGAAATCGCGATCGTCTTCAACCCACGGCATATAGTCCACGGTTCTAGGTTATCTAAGTTTACCTAATCCCACCATTCCCATGATCAGTTGGATGACTCCCGTCAAGAAGCACAGCAACGTCCCGTACACTGGCCCTCGTCCTTTGAGCGTGTTGTACGTCATTAGAGATACGATGGCCGTCGGACCCATGGGCACTTCCTTGCAAGTCCCGAGGAAGACGTACATCAAACTGCCGACGAACGAACCATATAAACCGTACTGGAAACGAGTGGATAATATAGGGCACGTGCTTTGGGCAGGTATTGCATAGGCGCAACTAGGACCATATTTTTTTTTTGGTCGGGGTGGGGCTGTAGAACTCTCATTTTCTCTTTATTAATCCGTGTGGACAATTTCTGATACACCCCCTCTACTGAGTTGGTATATTCGAAAATTGCTTGCAATAATTAACATAAATTTATACCAATATGAACAATGTACATGTATAATATTTATTTAGTTTGATTTAGGTACCAACCATGCATATCCCCATTTTTCATTTACCTAATAAGTAATACAATGTATTTATTCAATTTCTTACTATTATAATTTAAAAATATATTACAATATATTTTATACATAATTTATATTTATACGAACAAGATCAGCTTAATAATTTACAGTAAAAAAGGTAGGTTTTATTTGAAAAACGGAAGTTGGTATCGCCTTAGTCGAAATGGTATAACAAATCTAAGCATCTGGCAAATTTGAGAAAGCAATTTTAAAGTATACCTACTTACTCGTTTTTACTTATTATAGTTCTTAGATAATTTTTTATTTCATAGAAGAAAACATTTTTCGTAACTTATTATGCAAGTTATCCCACCTAGTTGCGTCTAATGCAAGTAAGTATAGGTATAAATATGAAGAGGATAATACCTTCGTCGATAAACGTGATGTCGCCATATTGCATGGCACCTCTTAAAGTTAAAATGTTTTTTCCTAGTTACATACCATGGTCCGTTATAAAGGCTATAGTAATATGTATTATGCTATTTGTACATGTCATTTTTACTTAGCATAATTTTATTTAAATTGTTGTGGCTATACTTTAAACTCGAAAAATGTAATGAAATTTAAATTCAAAATGATAAAATAGTTAATTTGAATGTTGCTTTTTTAAAAAAAATAGATTGTACTCACCTTTATTATCATTATTATTTTTGTGTGGCATGAAATGACACTGGTTTTACAATCACCTATTGTTATAATATTATATAGACACTATACGTCTATACCTACTTTTAATACTATTATCACTGGCACAGATATGTCTGGCCACTCTGACAATGCGCCAGATCTGCGAATTTAAATTAACTTAAAAATAATTTTTAGAATTTTTTTTTATGTTGTATAGGAAAACTGATTTTTGAATCTGAAATTTTTTTTCTTATTGACGGAATCTGTTCGTATATTAGGTATATTAGTATAGGTATTTGATTTTCCATTTAATGTACATAGATTTTTACATTGTATAAAATGTAAATTTGACAAATTATTTTTTTACTAGGTAGGTATACTTATTATATTGTATTTTTTTATTTCACGATTGACTAACACGCATACAGACATTTTCTGACGCTAGCAAGTTATGGTCATATACTTACTTGAGGTGGTAGACCAGCTAAAGCTGCGAATGACATGGATTGTGGTATGAGAGTTAGACCGACCGTGATACCAGCTAGAAGATCTCCGATACAGTCTCCTGTCGCGTAAGTCGGCCACCATTGAAGAAATGGCAACCGTTTGGGTATGTTTTTGCGCTTGAACGCTGATTTAGTCTTGTCGGCTATTTGTTTGCAATAAGTCTTCAAATTTTTTTCCTCGTTTTCGCTCACCTCGTCTATCACTATAATAATATACGATGTGCTATGGATCACAATAATTACCATATAGGCAGTGTACATATAATATAATATACCAGTGATATATTAGGTCAAATCGCCGAATTAAAAAATATGGTCTCAAACCAATATACCACAGTCGCCTAAGCAGGCCAGTTCAATGTTATGACAGTACTATTCATTAATATTCATTGATATTACTTTACCATTGTTAAATATTGAAAGCGCTGTGTTATAATATTTATATCAAAATACATAAGACGAAATCGGCATATTTATTAAGTTTTAATAATCACTTAAAACAGGATTTCTTATCTATTCTGTACGGGCCGCAATCTAGATTTTAAAAAGAAAAAGTAACTTTTGGTCCCAATCTGTGACACCCTTCACAATGGTAGAAAAGAGGAAGCGGACACTATTCACAGGTTGAAAAAATGGGCACTTTATATGACCTTTTTTTCACTTGAATTGCCTCAGAGTTGTTCGAGCATCGAGTACACCCACGTGGCTAATCGAATTGTCTCCCATAGAAAATATAGATTATTAATTAAAATATCGATATAGTTATACCTAAACTATATCGATTCCTTAATGTTAACAAATATGAAGTGTTGGTATATTTATTAAAATATTAATATTATATATGATATGTATTAGCTCAAATTGACATTAAATCAATCAACATTGACTTATTATTCAATTTATTTAATTTACAATGTTTTCCTATAATTAGTCTAAAGTCAGACTTATATCCTTCTGAATAAACTGCAGACCTTAGTGTATTGAATAAACTTATAAACATTTTTAATTTAAAAAAAAACAATGTTTGTGATTGAAACTAAAAATCGATTAATTATATTATTTATATGTGTCGGAGGCGATTCCAGTACAAGAGGCCAGATAGTCACTACCTATACTAGGACGCCATTCAAGTAAATTATATTTTTGATATCTAGAACCTAGTCAAGTAATAATTAACGGGAAGCAATTTGATTTTCTTTCAAATGGAAAGCAATTTATGTGGGCCAAAAAATGTTTACCTATATAAAGGTACGTCAAAACTGGAAGTCGTTCGTATTGAAGCCGTTGAATCCAAAAACCGCACACTTAAGATGAAATGTATGTAACACTTTTTTAAGGTTGTTGTAAGGGTCCGTACGGCGCTATTTAATCATGTTACATTTATGTTTAATATATATAGGTACTTACGGATGAAGTCAGAACTTCCAATATTGAATATCTCGCGATCGTAAACCAGCGTGTCCCCTGCACTCTCAGTTATATCCGGCAGCCGATTGCTTTTCGAACTACAAGGACTGGGGGGCATGTTTGTTTGGATCTTTGACGTTTTCTTCTATAGGTAGACGAACAGAATGTGACATTCGCGTGCCAAAGGTGTCGGTTCGTTGCAGACGAAAAACTACATCGTTCAAGCGTGTAACATCGGTACGCGATGTAATAACAATAAATAAATAAGAGAATATAACACCTGTATAGGTATATTATATCGTGTATCGTTATAAAGTGGTTCAGCAGTGACTGTTTGTATATTATATTTTATAGGTAGGTACGTCAAATGGAAATGGTTGTCGAGTCGTTATCATCATTGTTTATACTACAACGAGATCGAGTGAGCCACAAGTGGTATCTGACGAATTAGTTTGATGTGATTATCATAAGTATAATGCATATTATAAATACGGAGTGATCTGTTTAATGTAAGATATTTCAGAAAAAACTGACAATTTTGATAATATTCTTTTGCATAATTTTAAGTCGTTACAAAACAACATCAAGTTTTTTACACTTTTGAATGAAGAAAAAAAATTTTAATTTCATATTCCGTAGCAGAATATTATTCAGAGTAATTCGATCTATACAAATCAAATTTTTGAGAAGTAGTGAGTTAATTAATTATGAGCACTTAAGGACCAACATTTGGTGGGGTAGGTATCCTTGTACTCCACTCCGCTCTTCTAAACTTTAAATAGCTTATAGCAGAGGTCACCAAATTGACAAAATGGACAAATTTGACCTGATCTCAATAAGAAAACAAAGTAAAAACCATTAAGATTATACGTTCCAATGTTGTAATTTATCATTTTTGTTTATTTTTTTTTTACCGACGCGACGTCAGTAATTTCGATGAATTGTGAATAATTTCCAGGTCCCAAATGTGGCCCTTCAAAAATATTCATTGGTTACCCTGCATAAAGAACTTGACCAAAGTTCGATATTAATACGTCAAAGTACTCCAAAAATACTTTGCTTTGCAATAAGGAATTGAAAATACATGTTGTAGTTTAAAAAAGTAAATAATTAAAAAATGTTGCGTGTAAACGATTGAAAATAATGTAAAAAAAATATCGTTAATAGTTGAGTTGCTTATGTTAAATGGATCACCCGGTAGATATAAATGTAACTATACTATTCGCCAACGTAATAGTGCAGACAACGGATAAAATATAACAACGCACGAGCGTGATCATAAACATTTTTATGGTATTATTATTGATCATGATGTGCACAGTAACTAGCTAATACTCGTTCCATGTGTGATGTCTTGTCATCCATTCATATTGTGTTTGTGCTGTATATTAAAACCGGAGATAACAGTATTTTAAATTTCACTAGAAAATGAAAATTGCAGCCTGCAGCTAAGTGCTATTATAAGCAGGAGTTTTCAAACTCAAAATTAGCCTTCCCCAAATAGATCAATTTTTTTTCTTCATATTCAATGAGGGTTCTTGTTAACTTCTTGTTTACTAAATGGTAGAACCAATTAAATTTTTAATATTACCTAGGTACCTAAATTAAATAGTTTATGAAATAAATAAAATAGTTTATGACCTATCTAAAGATATTTAGATTTGTATGGTTTGAGACAATACTGTCGACTGTTCTATCACTTCTATGGAATAGATACTCAATATATATCATGTAAATATTTCCAACACGCACCATATTTAATTTACTAAAACCTAAATCCATACCTAAATGAAATAAATGGGCATTAATTAAATGTGTAGCTTTACTATGAGATTGTTTGTAAATTAAATATTTTTCCAAAAAAAAAAAATACTGCATCATCTGATAAGCACAACACAATTTTATAAAACATAGTACAACATTTATGTTTTTGTAGTAATATTTATAGTTGTTAATTATAACTAATAATTATGATATGTTCAAATTTAAAAATAACTTCAACTGTTAGTGCTATAGGTACCTAAAGCTTTTCTGAATCCATTTGTGCATTTTGATATTTCAAACTGCAGCAGATATTCTTGTTCGTAAAATGTAGGTACACTCCAATAATTAATTATAAGCAAGGCTCGGAAAGTCGGAACTATATGCGTTAAAAAAACATCGTAATATTAAATATGCGGTATAATATGCAGTAAAAGTTTGGAAAATTTACAAAAATATGCAATTTGTTGAAGAAAATATATGTATTTAACATACCTACTATGGCTCTTTTTTTTAAAAATGTTTAACATTCGATACAATTTTATATATAACGCTAAATTATACATGTACCTCTTCAGAAGTCTTATGGAGACCATAGTCACGTGAATCATTTTTGAGCATAAAGGACTATAAGTGATTTTCCACTTTTATCCATTTTATATGGGGCTCCGCATCCGATAGTATTACGAAAATAGCCGTTTATGAATTAATTAATTTTTAATTAATTGGTTGTCATATACATCAAATATTTTTTTGTTGAACTATGAATTTCTAAAAAATAAATTGTTTTTGTTAAATCCTTGAAATGTGCATATAAATGTTCTTAAACCTAAAATATGCTAATTCGTACAAAAAATAACATAATATGCAAAATTATGCATCAAACATTGTTGTACTTGAAATATACGTACTATGAATCAAATTTGTATAGAATCAGAAGTATGAAAGGGCCTAAAATTCCAAGCCTTGATTATAAGTGTGAAGTCTTATATAAATATAATATAAAACAGACATATAATTTATTTTTACAAAGATAGGTACTTACATGATACGTATCTCATCTTTTATACGACTCGAATAAAATGTATTCAATTTATTTAATTAATGTATTATTTAATAACGTCAAGGCAGGTGTTATATTTTTTTAACAATGTCATTTTATAGCACTACGCGATATTATTAAAAGATTATACTTATAATCAATTATAGTTGTCGTACACTTACATTGAAAGTATGTATTTTATTGACAAGCTATTGCGGAATATTAGGCCTTTATGACATACATATTTTGTTTTTATGAAGCCAAATCCAAAATTAAAGTATTTATATTTATCTTGGCGATTAAATGATTAAATGATTCCAAACATATTGCTAGTGAAAATAATCCAGAGCAATTTCATTAATTAATTTAAAACGCAATAAACATAATATACAATTATTGATTATAAGTAAAAAAAAGTAAGTAAGTAAAAAAAAAAATAACTGCACGACGGTGTGTGTATAGGATATCGAAGCAGGAGTTGCCTATTTCAACTGTGTAAAAAACAGGTAAGTTTGTTATAGGACATAACTAATTTTCTAATGCATCAATCTAACCCCTAGTAAGCTCCAAAACATCAGAAATATTGTGTAGAACTTGCTTTTGTAAAAATCATCAAAATTAAGTTATAAATGAAAAAGTTTGAACTTTTTAATGGAAATTTATATTAAATTCAGAATCACGGTAGTCGTCGTCGTCGGATCAGCGTTGCCAATGTTACTAGCAATATTACCGTCCTTATAGATTATTGTGTAAATACTCAATATATTTTAATAACGATAAAAATTGTGATATAACAACAAAAACCCTTCGTAAACTACGTGTAAAAATGGATAAGAAAAAAAAATAAAAGATCTTTAAGCACTATAAAGATGTGATGTCATGAATAAATGCTAAGTATGTTGAATTTAAGTAAACTTATTTTGTTTCAATAATTTATTTACTTGGCGAGGAATTATTTAGAATAGTATATAAATATTAATAATAATATTTTTAAAACAATAATAAATTACTTCGCTATTTAATTATTTTGTTCATTACACTTTGTTTCTTTTAAGAAATAATTCCTCGGCAAGTAAATAAATTATTGAAACAGAATAAGTTTACTTAAATTCAATATACTTAGCATTTATTCATGATATCACATCTTTATAGTGCTTAAAAATATTTTTATTTTTTTTTACTTAGCCATTTTTACACGTAGTTTAAGAAGGGTTTTAGTTGTGATTTAATAATATTTTATTTTGAAACATGATATTATTACGGTCAAATTTATTTATATTTCATCCCGTTATATCAATGAATAACTGAATTACGTACTATTTATCGTCTTATGTAAAATAAAATGTTAAATAATGTATACTACTAACCCTGCATGTTCATCTAATCAATTATACATAGGTATATAATCAATTTCTATATCATTACTAATTTACCATTTAATACTTATGACAATCAAACAGAGTAACGCAGTAAAATACATAGATTCAATCGTTTTAACTTCTTAAGACAGTGATAATACACAATGTATAATATCATTAATTTTTTAGTTTTACTCAATTTTAGGACATTCGTTAAAAATTTTAAAATCTAGAATAATTGAATCCAATAAAATATGTTACATTTTTAGCCTAATATAGTTTCTATGTTTATTTTTCGCTGTGTAAAATTACGTGGGATTACTATACATTTATACCACACGGGTTATAAACGTTTAAATAGGTAACAGACGTACTCAAAACTAAATAAAACACAAACAACAAATAATGTAATAAACAATTATTATTCGATGAAAAGTATATAATTTAATTGATAAATATTTATAATGTAAATGATTTATTACGTTCTATAAAACTACAAAGGACATAGATATTGTGATTTACAAAAACACATTGCTTAATAGATAGCACAATAATACATTGTTTGACGTTGCAATGTTGCAATATAAAATACACAAACCTAATATATCTATTTTATATATGTTACACGTTCTAAATATAATATTATTTAATATCTATGAAAGAAAGTTCGATAAAAATCAAAACAACAAAAACTCTCTCTCTCTCTCTCTCTCTCTCTTTCTATGTATTATGTTTTAATTTCTTTTTCTCGAGATGAATGTTTTTCTAATGATAGTATTAAAATAAATTAACACTAAACTAAGTACAACGTTGCAGGTGGTTTCTACTGTAATAATTTTAATATAAATAAATAAATAAAATCCAAAGTATTATATATCTTAGTATCTAGTTTAAAAATATTAAAATGCATAGTATGTCGTCTGCTTAAAAATAATGATTTATATTGTCTAGTTCAAATAAATCAAATAAATCATACAAACAAAATATTAAAATTCACTACGGAAGTACAGAATCATAAATAATTAAATAATTAGTATAAAAAGGTATACCAATGTTGTCAATGTAATTAAAACATGTGTGGATGTATATATAGCTGTGAACCAATATTAAAATTATAAATATAATTCATAAGATCTTTTTCAATTTTGTTGTTTAACAGAAAAAAAATGCGCCTTGCAGATATCGAACTCTGAATGTCAGTCTGCCGACGAATTTTCGATTTGTTGACGTTGGTGCCTAAAAAGTAGTAGTTTTTAGTCATATTAAAGATATTGCAACAAGATTATTCATTATTGTGAATACTGACTTCCACCTTTGGAACAACTGATCTAAGTCATGTCTATGATAATACGTTATGAAACCTTTGGGTTGGACTCCTTCGAACACGGCTACCACGCTTGGCTTTAAATTGTAGAAAAACAAAGCTTGGCCTCTTTTCGAGAAGTCTTGTGTTAACATCTCGATAACCTTGAATAAAAAGTACAATAATTAATAACAATAATTTTTTTGTACAAAATCACATCATTATTTGTCGGACCTTTGCCGCGGTAAAGTCCGCGCCATATATGTGAGAACAGTCGATGACCACGGGAAGTTCTCGTTTCAAACTTTGTTTCATCACTAAATTTCTCACATAATCGACCGACGGGAAAACCAAACATCTGTCTGGAGTGACCATCAAATAGTTTATGCCGTCCCGTGTCTGTAATCACGAATTTTTTTCATGTGAAAAATAAGACCTCGTTTAAATTTTTCATTAACGTACCTTATGCACTTCGATCAACAGTTTTGGTCTTGCCGCATGATATAAAATCGAAACCAAATTCAATCCAATACCTATTAAAACTCCTATTTCCAGAGGTAAAACCAAACAAGCGAAAAATGTCGCCAAACCTGGTATGAGGTCACTTTCTAAAGAAAAACGGTAAACGTAAGAATAAAAAACCAAATACTACAAATTAGCAAAACCTCATAGCATATACTATACGAGTATATATAGGAAAGTACAGAGTAGTTCACCTAACATGCACATCAGTCACCAGCAATTTTTTTCTTTAATAATGAATTTATTCAAATTCTGATTTTTTAGGTAAGTATATTAGGTATATTCAAAACGTTTAAAGGACCATATTTTCAAAAATGTATATTTTGAATACCATTTAAGGAGGTATACCTGTATACCAACATCAGCTGTTTTTCAAATAAGAATCGGTAATCACTAATAACCATTTTTTCCTGTAAATTGTTAAGTTGATGACTTTTTGAAAATATGAACGTAGGTATCTAAACTGAAATCCAAACGAGTAGATTTTGAAATATTTAATTTTGTATATTAAGGATAATAATATTTGTCCATGATAAAAGGTTTAGAAAATATGGAGGCTATCTGGCTATGACTGTTTTAAAATTATTGTAATTTATTACTTATTACTAGTTTATAATAATCTATTGACATTTTATAATTTATAATAATTATCCGATTTTAAATAGCAGGTAAGCAACTAACTCCCTAGTACTTGTAAGTACTCGATTAAATATTGCATATATTTTTAAATTTTGTAAAACCATTTCTAAAGACTATTATTATTTATTCCACTATAGTCTATAAGTATACCTACTACCTGTCATCTATATATTTTAATATACATTTTAAGAACTCAGAAACTTATGGTTCTAATTTTCATATAGTATACAAATCGAATTATTTGAAAATATCTTAAATAGAAGGTATACTATGTGCATGCTTGGTATTATAACTCACCGAATATACTAGGTTGATAAATTTTATCGTATTTCTAATATAAATATGAATTTAAAAATCATGTACTTACTTTTTGATCTATAAATAGGCCTGACTACGCGCACTTCAACCATAAATATGACCGCTGCAATAATGATCGCTGCGAGAGCCGCTTTTGGTATGTAGTACAAATAGGGCGTACAAAAAAGCAAGGCAACGATGACCAAAATACCTGAAAAAAAAATTAAGAATTTTGGGGTTTAAATAAAAATTAACATTCAAAAACAACGGTGTTCTACGATACGAAGCGTCCTCGTAAGCACTATATTACCACATTTTATTTTATTTTTTCGTATTTACGAAAACGGAATTTCATAATACAGCATAACAATATTATTAATAAGAAATTATATTATTCTCACCGGCGTATAAACCCTCCATCGGAGTTCGAACTCCACTAGCTGCGGTCACGGCACTCCTGGAAAAAGACCCTGAGCCGGGATACGCGTGGAAAAACGAATTTCCGATGTTGCACAGACCCGTCGCCATTAACTCCTGTGTGGCGTCGACAGGCTTACCGTCAGCTGAAGAATAACGTATTTTAGAATAATGTATTTTCACAAAAATTAATGCGAAGCTCAGAAACTACGAAATTCGTAGCCATGTCAAATCGGTCGTAGGCTTCACCCATCCCCCCCTCCTTACACCAACCGACCGTTATGTAGGCAAGAACTTTAGTAAGTATAAGCTCAAACACGGTTTAAGAATTTAAATATAATTTATTTTGACCTGATTAAGTATATAATATAGGCGTGTAATGCTTGTATTTATCACGATTCTTATACATAATAACTAATAAGTAATACAAGCAATAATGTCTCGGGAATTTTTGACTTGATTTTTACTGCTTTGACCGACTAAAATGCATCAATTAATATTAATTTAAGATATTTTCATATTGATGACAATGTACACGTATCAACACCACTTAAAAAACATATTTCAATAGCCAGCAATAGATATTTTAATACAACCTAGTAGATGTGTATTATATAGGTTATTAAATTTCTTTTGATAGTAATTGTGCCCTTTACAACTTAACCATTAAAATTCCTTATTTTTTTGAATACTATAAATTATATGGTTATTCTTACTGAGTGCTAAGTCAATATTATACCCATTATGTATCGTTAATCCAATAGACAAAAACTTTACAAGTACTAAATATTTTATTGTTAAACATAATGCTTACGCGTACAACTACTAAAGTGTATAAACATATACTTAAAATTGACTATTGGTATGTATTGTACTTAAAACCCAATAAACCTAGAGTCTTAAATTACCTACCTCAAATATTATTTTGAAAATATGGGACCATGAGGTACTTTTACGTATTACACCCATATCGTTACGAAACTAACAAATGCCCGCAGTCCCTTAGCCACTCCCTTAACAAGGCTCTGTATAAAATTTACCTACAACCATTATTATATTACATTAAATTTAACTGACCGAAAGTTTTGCATATGGAAATGGTTTCGATAAGCGCAATTATTGGTAACACTATAACTCCAGAACCCTATATTCCGAGACCATTTCAAAGAATCCTACTGTAGTTCCGTTATCTCGCGTGATGCTAAACTTCGGCAGATCGAATTCTGGCAAGCCCGATGGTATTTTACCTGCAACACATAATAGATTTAGCGATCAGCTGTTACGGGTACCAATTACTCACCCACTACCCTTCGTGGTAGTCTGGATGGTCTGCAGTGTTCGTCTCTACTTACCGACCACTTTGAACGGTATAGGTGGTATTTCGCTGGAGGTCACGTCGTGTCCAGACGAAGTTATGTACACGTAACCCACGTAACTGCTAACGATAACCACTATAGAATTCCTGAATGTTCCAATCAGCCACATGGTTCGGTTCATGATTTTGTGGAACGTGGTCTGCTCTTTCACATCTTTCGGCCCGATTTGACAAAGAGCCATTCTCTTAAACGTTTCAAAAACAGACAAATATAAAAACATGCCAACCAGTATACGCGATACGTTGTACAAAACGAACATGGCCGTACTTAAATCCCGTGACCAGTTTTATATAGATAATTACCCTCAACAGAAGAATAACGACGATGCAAATTATCCCAAGCCACGTGTCACCAAGTTGAAAATGATTGATGTCTTTGGATATCGATATTATCATGTCTAATAGCGTCGTCCCCGCGGCTTTGATGCCAATCAAGTCTTTGATTTGTGACGCGACGATGAGTATCGCGACGGCCGACGTAAACCCCGAGTTCACTGGTCCGGAAATGAAATCGATCAAAAAGCCTAAACGGTGACAATATCGGGGGAAGTATGTTAATAACGAAGCATCATATAATTTATAACCAGCTGATGCGCATCCTACGAGGTTTACCTAGTCCCACTACGCTCATTATTAATTGGATGACACCTGTCAAGAAACACAGCAGCGTGCCGTACACGGGTCCAAGTCCGTGGAGTGTGTTGTACGTCATTAGCGATACGATGGCCGTCGGTCCCATGGGTACTTCTTTACAGGTGCCCAGGAAGACATACATCAAACTGCCGACGAACGAACCATAAAGACCTTGCTGGAAACGGAATCAAACTCGGTAGTAAGTAGATATATTACAAGACGATAAATATATAGCAATCGGACGAATTAAAGGAGAAAAAACCATATTATATTTAAATTATTTTACTTGTGGCGGTAGACCGGCCAGAGCAGAATAGGCCATTGATTGCGGGATAAGCGTCAGACCGACCGTGATACCCGCCAGAAGATCTCCGATACAGTCGGCTGTGGAATATGTCGGCCACCATTGTAAAATCGGCAGTCTTTTGGTGATTGTTTTGTACGTGAAAACTGTCTTTGAATTACTGTTCAGACACGAAGAGAATTCGTGAAATTTTTCTTTCACATTTTTCTTAGGTCTTTCCCCGACTTCGTCTACAACTGTGATACGTATTTAACAACGACTCTTCTTCTATCTTAACTTGAATACGTCTTGATGCATCATAATGGTAATTAATAACCGTTTTCCATTAAAAACTGTTATTAATTAATATTATAACGAATCAATTCAAAAGTCATTTCTTTAGAAGCTTTTATTGCAAATCTTAAGCAGTCAGTAATAGAGAATAGTTATAATTTTTAAGAATTAGACGAATATACATAATATGTACTATGTAGATATTGTTATTTACAATATATTGCTTCATTGTTTTTATTAATTTTAACATGATTCGTAGGTAGTTACTTACGTATAAAGTCGTTGCTGCCTATTGTGTATTGAGATCTTAAATTATTATCGTTCACCTCCATTTTTTCACATCGATTTTGGTGTCTATCGTCATCATCGTTAATAATGGACATTTAGATCAACCTGGAAATTAAATAATTAAATGTTTATATACTTATATAATATATATTATATTATTTTTATTTTATTTTATGTCATAGTTGTTTATGTTTAGTTTTTTTTTTAAATAAGTTGAGGCTAGCCGGTTAAAGGTTTGTATATTATAATTTACCACAATTTTTACAATTTTACAGTTTTATATATTTAATATTTTACTCTCACAATTACCGTGGCCGTTTCGCCGGAGAGTCTTTCAGATGCGAGCCGTTCTGACGTAGGGGCTGACGTGGCCACAAAATTGCCCGTTCGTACAATTCCTAATTCCAACACTACAAGTTTTAGTAACAAAAAGTTTAGTACATATCTATATAGTGGGGCCGAAGTGTTTAAAATAAACTATGATATCGTACATCAAGGGCCCTCCACAATCCTCACCTTTTTTAAATTTTTTAATTAGCTGCAAATCATGCACCCACATATAATTTATTCAACGTATAATCATTTATTTTTAGTTTTTATTACCTACGAATACAACAGATATCTGCAATTGAATGTATTATTGTTTGTTATTTAAATTACAAAAAATCAAACTAATTTTATTATTTATGAGACAGGTATTATTTAGATTTCAAAAAAAAATTATATTATTAATAATTTCTCTATAATATTTACGATGTTTGATCGGTATATTGCAGTTTATTTATAAACCTGTATGTATACCTCCCTCTAAAATAGTTGTGACACTAAATGAAAATTGTATAATTTTTTTTACAATTTGTTGTCTATTAATAATGGCAGCCACGGGCACATGCGGACGTGTTTGATGTGACTGGTGATACACGAAAATAAATAGAAAAAAATGCTTAGATTTTCAACTTTGAGGGTTGCTTTCTGATAGAAAACTGGACCTACTTTCTATACTTTTGAGAGGTAAAATTTGAAAAAATTCTCAGTACTTTCAAATTTAGACAAAATTATGTATTTAAATGAATAATAACAATTTAAGTTATTTTGCTGATAATTATTTTAAAAATTCTGTTCATACTGTAACCAAAATATCTAAAAAATATAGGCTATAGCTTAGTATTAATTACCCAATGCTATTTATTAACCATTTGTATATCTTATTTATTTATATCTTTATAGTTGAAATTTTTTGTACCTACGTAAAATTCTGGATCCACAGCCTGATCCCAGTGCCCTACGGTGGGTTCTCCCATCTACAAATCTACTATGCCATATTTCATGGATAAATTAGGTGATCAGCACCACTACATACCTATCTATTCAACCTTTATAATATAATACTATTATTAATTAGTTTATTACAGTAAATTTGGCTTTTACTTCTTTATATTATTTTAATTATATTTTATGTTAAAATAAGAATATGTCATCAATCAGTTTAGGCTTTTCTACATTATTTTCAAAAAAAATACAATCAATGGTCTTGAATTTTAATTATACCGCGTTAACTTCAAGAAAAAGAACTACAGTATTTTTTTGCTGTTCTTGATATAATATTCACCTTTTAATATTGCTATGATAGTACAATATAGAGATTAAATTGTGTACTTAAAAAAAGCATAATATCTCTGTAATATATTCTAAATATAGTATTCAACCTTAAATTAATTTTCAGCTAACTTTATTATTTTAATGGTTGAAACCAATGAAGAAATAATTATATATTGTAAAAAATAAAAAAACATTTGATTACTTAACCTTATGGTTATCCCTTAAAGTATCCTTACGATTATGCCTCAATCTGTCCTTATGGTACCCCTTCAGTTAAATAATTATATATAATACATATATTATATATATATTTTTTTAATTATGAAACACTGTATGAAATAAAATGTTAATAATGTTTTGCAGTTTGTATATCATATAGATGAGTGAGATGACCTATACCTAGTACGCAGAGGCTGAGCTCAAAATTATCCCACTGACCAATCGTCGTGTGAAAATGGCATTTCATTTCACAGGGACCGAGTCACCAATATAATTGTTAGTTTACCATTGGCGCCCACAGGTCAGTGTCTGAGTATGGCAGCTACGTATAACTATAGGGCCCATTAAAATTATCCAACGCATATTATTATTATTATATCAACAACATGAATATAATGATTAATAAATTACTGTATAATAAATATGGAGCGCGCGTGTGTGACAAATAACGTCCGGATGGTCCATCTGGCAAACAATTAATATATCAACCGTACATACAGTATCGGCCCAAGGTTTTTTTTATCTCTCTTTTATTTATTTGTTTTGTTTTTATTGACGGGGAAAATAATCGAATCAATGAGACACAACTTTACACGCACATAATATCCGTTCAATTGATTGAAGATTGATTATTGCTGTTGTAGGAATACGTCTTTGTATATTGTCGTACGCTATGGCACTATAAGGCAGTGATAGACGATAGTGTTGATGTTTTCGGCATATGCATACAAAGCAAAAGGAAAAAAAAAGTTAAAAAGTTATAACGGTCTGTTCCACAATCATTGCAAATCGTCGAGTGTATTTTGACAACGATTAATGATAATCTTTCGAGTTGCAAACATGAAAATATATACACGCGCATCATTTGATTTTTTTCTACCATAAATTGTTATATAGAAATAAATCTGTTACTCTTCGCTCTAGCAGTATACTAATATGTACATAAATGGGTAATCTACAGTAGGGCAGTGCCGGTTCAATGAGTATACATGCAGTAATTTATCATTGATTAATTATAGTAGTTTTATATATGAGCAAAGAGATGAATGAATTGATGTTACAACGTGTGTTTTTACTTTTTTTATGTATATCATTATGTCTTGAGCAGTAAAAATACATACGTTGTCAACTTTAGTATTATCTTTTCTGGATGAAAAGTGAATCTAGTTGGTTCTTAGATGGATCAAAAGTAAAAAATAACCAGTGACATTCTTAATAATTGGGAAAAACAAAAAAAAAATAGTGAAAAACGGGAGTTTTTACGCAAAACCAGTGTTCGACCCAATTGATTTTCTTATTCAGTTGTAATTCAGAAAAAATAACTGTAGATACTTTAAAATGTCATCAAACGTTCATATTAGCTAGCATTTATTATACGTGGTAGGTATAGTATTCAAAATTTTTCGACTCTTTTTGAATGATTTATTGACATTTGCATTTTTTTATTGTTTTTCAATAATTCTCGATAAAAATGTTTATATTGAAATATTGAATATTGGTCTATCAAAATGGTTAAGAATTAACACAGGATTCCAAAAATTCAATGACGATATACATTCGAAACTTACTGTATATCAAATCGGTTACCTAATGTCCCACTTTTTTTATTTTTTACATTATTAAGTAATTAATTGACGAATTTATATTATATACAGTTTTATTATTTGTATAAATCGTGAATTATTTTGCTTTGAGTTTTTATGTTCCTATTATAACATTAAATAATTAGATAGTATTATTATTAATTGCGACCTTGGTTTATTTTATTTTAAATAAATTTAGTTTACACTTTTACAGATTGAGTGCAGAGTACACTTTTTGAGAGTAACAGACGTCTTTTACAGTGTACACATAGATCACAGATGGTTTTATTTTCTAAAATCCTCAATACATTTGGTTACCACAATATGTTACATGCATAAATTATAAATATCATAATGTACTCATATTTGTGTTGATCTAGAAATTATGATTTATGAGTGTACAAATAGTACATTTTCTTGTATTTAAAACTGGATATAATATTCTAGTGACTAATTATGTGGTAAATTGTATAGCACAAGTTCACAAAATACAATTGTAAGGTAAAAATAAATAAATTAGATATAAACTATACTACAAAATATTATGAATATTAATATATTATACAAAATATATTTTTATAACTTATTATTTATTATTAATAACAAACTATTTGTCTCGACCATTAAATTAAATTATTTATTTAGTTATAAAATTATAATAATAAAATTCATATAAATGTATCCCTAATTATAGAGATGAGTGTATTTTTCTTATACATTATAAATTTACAACTTATTATATATTATTATAAAAACAGGAAAAATCTGATTGTTTATTTATTTTTAAATAAATCAAACAAAGGCCATACCGATACTACAATATATATATATATAAATATATAATATTATACCTACATAAACGTCAAAATAATAATTAAATATATTTCTTATAAAATTCAACAAAATATTAGTTCTAGGTACCTACCTGATAATTTGTGTTATTTTAAACTAATAAATACCTCGGACAATTTTAATATTTATCAAAACTTATTAAAGTATTACATAGTTTGAGTATTTAAATTTACATACACGTAAATAATATACTGTATATATGAGACATAATAGGCACGAGCTATATTTTATTACTTGAGTATAGTTCTTAATGTTCATACGTAGCCCATTAAAATGAACTATTAAGCCATAGGTATTAAACCTATTTTTTTAATTTGTTTGATTTATAATATACAGAGTGATCCACCAGCTATACTCACCCCCATTTTTCCTTAAATAATTAATTCATTCAATTTTATAAATATATTTAAAGGGCATAATATTCAAATATTTTCATTTTTTTTTTATACTAATTAAAGACTGTTCTGTGGCGATACAAACATCATTCTTCAAATGAAAACCTTTTTTCCTATACATTTTCTAGTTGATGGTTTTTATTTTAAATTTAAATGTATATATAGTGTGTACATCCAATTTTTACAAGTAACTTAGTTTCTAAATGATTCATTTCCATATTCTAAGGATAATTTAGGTTCAAATGTACGGGGTCTATCAGATTTTAAAATTATACTAATTAATATTAATATATTAGAATTTTATAATGTGTTAAAAGTTAAAACTGCTTGTATTTAATAAGTATTAGGTAATAAGGTGCTTATAACCTAAAATATGATATCTATTTTTTTTATTATCACTACTGGTTATTATATATTTACATCTACATACATAAAGTATGTTATTTT